TCTGTAGTTGTCCGATGGAGACAAACATCAGACGAGGAAAGCCGAGAAAGTGAGATATCTGTAAATATGTGCACCATATTCCACATTCATACACCATAACATGATGTCCTATGATAAACGCTGGCTCTGAAAAACTCCCATATGGAGGCTAGTATGTTCTACCGTGCACAAGAGCAGTTGGTGCATGCATGTCTGGAATTTGCATGCAGTTCATGTGGTTTAAAGTGAAAAGATGAATCACAGCACCTCAAGGGATTTTGTATGTTCTGAAGTCACCGATAATGTGAAGCTTATTTAAAATGACTCGGGTTAGACTGGTCTGCATTAACCAATGTTTTCGATACATGCATAATCTATTTCCAAGCCCACTAGTTGCTGTTTACTCTCCGAGCCGCTCTGTTAGTACAAGCTGTATGACAGGAGAAGAGACTTCATTGGCCTCCCACTATCTGCCTGGAGGACTTGATTAAACAGGAAGAGAATAGCTCTTGATACTTCGGCCTTGCACTGGCAGAGGAAGTAAGGGTTGCAGGCAGCCCACACATTGGCAAAATATCCAGGAGCTTTACTACACTAGCTGCATACATATTAAATGCATTTTGCAATGAGCTAACAGCAAACAGGCAGTCTTTGCAGCACTCAGAGACTACACTAGAGCAGTTCAACATTTTAATGCTACTTAAAGTCAAATCTAAATGATTCCCGCTGATGACTGGTACCACTGAACAGCTAGGATTTTAGCTGGATTCTCTTAAATTCAAAACAATTCTGTGATAAGGCCATCAAGCCAACAGAGCTTAGCGGCATCACAGTGTAAAAGACAAACAAAAAGAATAACAAATAAATCATCTTTCATTCCTGTGGAGTGCTTGGATTCAAATGCAGTCACTTAGCTAAAGTTATTACCTGGAAATACCAAAGATGCTAATTTCTATTAATAACATCCTCACCGCTCAGTTCAAATTACGGCTTGTGATGGATGAGGTCTGACGACAGGATATTTGATGAAGCCACACACTCCAAAAAATAAAATGTAATCATTTACAATGACATCGCTCTAGAATGCAATCTGACTTACTAATCATGCATCAGTACTAATAATTATAACTATAAAAGATTGTCGATGTAATGCTACTGTTAGCTCCTCACATATTTTAGCTTGAACTCAAACTAAGAGTACTGGAACAAATGACAAATATCAAGAGTTAGAAAGAGGAAGGTTTTTTTTGTTGTTTTGTTTTGAGTTATGTCAACAGTTTGATCCCCAAAGCACCCAGTTTGCTCGCAACAGATGATTCTGAAATATCTTTTCCTGAGCAAGAAACTGAACCCCAACCTGCTCCATCTGTGGAGCTTCAGACAAATCGTTAATAACTGAATAAATATGTAAATAACTGTATGTTGTATTCAGCGATAGACATTACACAGGGACATTCTTATTGACATCATTTGTGTCCCTTCCCTTTTGTATTTTTTTTAAAAATGTTGTTTAAATAAATACCTCATTTATAACATTTGAATGATGCCAATGTGTCTGTGTCCTTTTGCAAGTATAGCATTTTTTAATCAAATGATCTGTTACATTTTTACCAAAACAGACAGTACTGATGTTAGTCTAATGATCTGCGTGAGCTCCTTTCCAATGTGGGTTATACACTGCTTATCTTAGAACAAGGTCTTGCTATCTTTAACCTCCTTAGAAAATCGTATACATATCCAGCCGAGAACATATCAGAACATTCTCCCAAAAGTCTCAGAAAGGCATGAAACCTGACAACTTCTTCCCTGGCTCGTTTTCTTTTTGACATAGCCCCTTACACAAATATATGTATAGTTAAATCACTTGTTTTTAATGTCAGTTCACCACTGATATGCCTCAAACATTAATCAGCCGAGATAAAAGTAGGTTACATGAGAAACAGCAGCCAGTTCCACGCTTATGCTTTTCTGTCCAATATTGGCTAATCTAAATAATGAACACACAGAGAGCAGTAATGAACATGCCAAGTCTAACTCAAGTTCCAAACAGAAAATCATCAAACACACTTGCTACTCTGTCTGGATGAAAGTATTACTTTGAGAAGTGGAGCGGGCATATCGCAATGCTAAGCAATCATAATCCGCACTACACTTGCAAGAGGTTTCATCACCAACACTCCCTCCCTATTGCAAAAAAGGGGGGAAAGAAAAACTATATTGATCTTTTTCTCCCTTGCTTCCAGGCATTCCCATTTCCCCGTGCAGCTTAAGCAGTGCTTTTGTGGACAAATCCCACATTTGTGTTTCTTTCTGGAGGCTATTAATTGTCCTGGATAGGCGTAACTGCTCCCAAGGCACAGCTGTGTTGGCCATACAGAGATGCTGGTGGCCAGTGTTCTGTGCAAAGTCTTGCCTTGTGTTTCATCAACCTCAAATATCCCCTTCCACCCTCCACCGCCTGCCCAGTCTGAGCAACGCCACTGGATATGAGTTGTGCACTCGGTTCACCTCTGTGGTACCCAGCCTTATTTTATCATGGCTACCTCAATGCAAGTGGCGATAAATCTCAGAGCTGATCTCCACCACTCCCTGCCTCCATCCTCACAGCATTGTCAGCCCCATCGGGCTCTTATATGGGCCCTCATCTGTTCCTGTTACCTGTAGAGAGAGGCAGAGGCAGGCATTACGCTTTATTGCAAAGCCAAGCTTCCGATGTTGGACTGGCCTGTCTGCTAAGCACACTTCAATGCCCTGCTCGCATGAACAGAGATGATGAAACAAGTTGGATATCTGAGCAAGAATGGGCAACTTCTATCTGTTTAGCCCTGCCTATATATGCTCAACAGTTTCCAAGGTGACTTTTCCAATTGCACAGAGATTCGCCATGGATAATTCATCACCTGCCCTCCATAAGCGTGCACTCTAATAGGCAGCACATTTCATCATGTCACACACAGGGAAACAAGAGCATCTGCCAACCAAAAATAAAAGGAATTAAGTGTTATATTGCGTTGAATAATATCACAAGCAAGCTGGCACCCGGTAATTCAACTATTCAATAACAAAAATAAAAAAGCACACGACCCACACAATGATTTCTACCAGCATTTTATTTTTAATACTGCCTACATTAGGTGTTCTTTTATAAACTTCCCATACATCCCATTATTACACGACCCAAATTAAACAGTCACTTATTGCGGGACTCCATTATAACAACACAGGCATAATATATTGCTTATCATGCATTTTTTAGATGGATTTGACATCGCAGTTGACATCTAAGCACTTAATATAAATGTACTCGCACCCTGGCTTGTTGAAGTACATCATGACAGCACTGCAATAAAATGCACATTCTGAACTGAATGTAGATGAGGCTATTGATAAATGCATGATGGTCATCACTTGATGCTCATGGCTTGATGACTGACTTGCACGACAGATCAGCACCCTTTCGATCCATCTCTTTAATAACGGCGGCTTGGTGATAAACATCGACCCTTATCCACCGAGCAGACCTTTGTCCGGTGGTGCCATATTTCGGGGTGGATTCTGAGAACGTCTAAATACATCAATATGATGATTCAGCACGATAAAAGAATACCGCTGCTTGTTTGTTGCCTTAGACATTAAAGCATTAATGTGGTTAACTGCCTGGCTGTGGTAATAAAGCCAAGGACGGCGGGTTTGCCACTGCCATTGTTACAATTTAACCAGTGGTTTAATGAATTGTCACTTCAGGTGAACCAATTCAATCGGAAACGATGGTTTGGAAGCATTTCCTAGAATATTTAAACATGCAAGCATTTCAAAAGCTGCACAAAAGCACACCACAATGCACATATTTGTCAATTACATTCACGTTTGACAGGAATAACATGAGGAGAAATATTGAACACCAACCTGATCCGGCTAACCCGCTGCCTCGGCTGGCTCTCGCTCCTCTTCACAACGAGGTGATGAAGCAGCAGGTTTGAACAGCGAGAAGCGCATGAGTTGACAAACCAGCAAGAAGCGCTGTGATACAGTGGACACCAAACTGTTTATCACAAAGGAAACCTAGTTGCACAGTTTTTGACATTCCACGACTGTCTGCAACCTCTCTACGCCTGCTTGTGAAAGTGGCAACAACTCCCCGCCTACAAAACAAGCAGGCGAGGAAATCCCCGTGCTCAGCCTTCCTACTATAACAGTAGCAACACAGCACCACGAGCCATTCAACAACCGGCAAAATCACCGTTTTACCTCCAAACAGCCGGCCGTAACTCTATATAAAAAAGAAAATATTTTTGACATGTTTTATTCGCTGCTCATGTGTGTAAAACAGATTACGAGCTGCCATCTCAGCATAGTAGGAGCCCGAACCGTTCAGTTCCCATCAGCTACACACACGCTTCCGGTTGTAGCTTTCAAAATAAAGCCAACAATTGTGAGAACACGTGTGTTAAACCTCTTGAATAGTACGGGCGCTCGTATTTTGAAAAACCAAGGCTGGAATGAATCGGGCAAACTTGACCAGGAGAGATAGAAGAAGCTAGGTATGCTAACCCTACAGCTAGCCGCGGCCAGCTTGTCAGCGGCAAGGCGAAGGCATGCACACTCAGCATAACAACACCGACTCTGTTTGGTTTACAGACCCACCTGACTTAAAAATGACGCTTTCTTAAGTTGTTTCCGTCAGGGTCCTCTTCTTACACCGTCACGGCGGTGAGCAAACATTAGAGACAGTTAAATCAATGTCGGGTTCACTGACAGAAGCGGCAGCGCTTCCAAATGCCAGCTCGTGCTCTCCTTGTTGATTCCTTTCTCTTGTATTGAAGCCAGACGTCATCGTGTTTGGTCACGTGCCTTCATTCATGAAGGATCTTCTTTCCGCACAAGAAGAACACATTTTAACCAAAAATATACCACCTTTTGGTACATAGGAGCTTCTAATGACTGTATGTTGACTGGTAAAAACTATTGGCATTCACTGTATCTAACACTAGCCAATGTCACTCAAATAACCACACAATTACTATTTGTTTTTGTTTTTTATTAATAAAACCATACAACCTCACAGTTTCATTTCATCATAATATATGCAATTTACATTTTTTAAGTAACAAGTAATTGTGAGATTGCATAAATACACGTGTATTTGTAATTGCACTTTCAGGGAATAAGGGCTCACTGATTTACTGCATACCACTGAAAGACAGTTATTTAGTCAAACTAACTTGGCCAACTAACACCAGCAACGCCTGACTGAATTTGTTCAAGCCATAGTAACAACAGATATTGCAACCGTTATTATAGGCTAGTCTCCACGCCTGACAAAGGAACATTATTTAATTAGAGAAAGAAATATAGCTTACACAGTTTTTACAGCATCATCCCAAATATTGATGTTTTATTATAAAAACATAACCCAAAGGTTATCTTTTGTTCCCACAACATCTGCCAGTAGTGGTTAATTCACAGCATAAAATGCAGAGCATATCAAATGTACTGTTTCAAAACTTGACAATAAATCACTTCTTTCTGGTCCTGGGCTTACTGCTGTGGAACATACTGATCCCATGAGATTTTACTCCGACACCCTCTGGAATCAATCCTGGCTGCTGCAACACTTGGTCCAGAGTTGTCTTCTTAATGGCAGCTGAGGAGATTTTCTCTTGGTCGGCCAAAAACTGAAGTTCCCTTTTAGAGAAGGGCAGGAAAAGACAATATATTTAAAACATTGTAAGAAACATACATATTTAGCAAATCATAGTATAGTAGCCTAATAATAATCTCATCACTAGGTAACTATGAAAAGGACAAACTCTCGCCATAACATTATTTAATGCTTAATATAGCTCCATCTACTGTCTAAGTTATAAACTTCAAAATGAATATATCACCCTTTGGTCATTTGAATATGACAATTAACTTAAAAGCATTTGTTCTGTATCCCTGTGACAGGAAATATGATTTGTTATTTTGTTTGTCTCCCTCTTTCCTTATCAACTTACCTAGTCCTAACACAGGAAGCCTCTACAGCGTTGATGAGGAGGCTGCGGAAGCCACCACTCTCCATGACGTGCAGGGCGTGGATGGTGGCGCCCCCTGGTGAACACACATTGTCCTTGAGCTGGCCAGGGTGTTGATCTGAGTCTAACAGCATTTTAGCAGCCCCCTTGAAAGAAACACAACAAGATGCACATTAGACTAACACACCATTGATGTCATATCCAACTTATATATTCATACTGTGTCCATAGCCAACCGAGACAGACTGAGGTCGACACCTGTCAAAGCTGAATCTTGATTTATAGATTGTACCAATACAATTAAACTGAAAATGTACCAGAGTGAATTAAGACGGAGACATTTTTATATGAATACATCACAGCAAAGCTTGGAAAACATAATTTAAACCACCCCAATAGTAACATTCTAAAAGGAACCAAATACCATACAAGAAAGCGTACATGTAACACATACATTTGTTAAAAGATAAATAAAAGTAATACCAGCAAGGCTTGGGCTCCGAGGCGTATAGCCAGTCTCCTGGGAAGGCCCATTTTCACTCCACCATCAGCAAGAGCATCTACAGCCGTAAATGCCTGCAAGTTGCATAGTTGTTAAACTTCTCATAATTACAAATGATCAAGCAACATTGAAAAACACGCTGAACATTATATAAATGACTCACGTAAGCAGGACCACTGCCGCTGAGACCGGTGACGGCATCGATCAGGTCCTCCTCTACCTCAGTGCAGTATCCTACACTGGCCATCAACAGCTCCAGAAGCTGTCCATCCTCTACTTTTGCATGGGTGCCTGTGGCGTACACGGTGGCCCCCTCACGCACCACCACCGGAGTGTTTGTCATGCACCGCATTACCTTGGGAAAAGCACGATACAGCTGCAGCTTCTGTAGGGGAAAACAATGTACTGAATAAATTGTCCTGAAAATATAGGGAAAATGGGGCTGATAGGATCATTTGCACTCCTCTTAGTAAAAGTAACTAAATGTTAATAGTCAATCAAAGTAGTTGACATTTCATTTGCTTTGTTCTGCCATGTAATATCATTTTAAAGACAACATATCTTTGGCTATGCACAATGCAGATGATTATATGTGGTCCTAAATTAGATACAGGTCTGATATTTTGCAAAGCAACCTCAGTCTGACAATCTATGTGGGAACTCATGAGACTTTTATTTTACTTTAGATCAACTTTTGTCACCATTCTTTTGTTGGCAAGTCTTTTGCAGAGGTAGTGGTAATGACAGATCTGTCAATCGGTTTCAATTAAACTGATTACGTCACAATTCCACCAGCCTCTGCTCTGACTCTAATTGGTTATGTTTACAAAAAACCAATGTGAACAGCCTTTCAACAAAATCAGATCAGAGCAATAATTCAGAATTCAGCACACAAAGGCTTGCAGGCATGGGTGTTTAGGGTTCAAGCAGATAACTACTGTCATGTTACAGCATGTGATTGTGTTGCCTGAGGGTCTGCAGCGTATGAGAGCAGAAATACAGGGAGAGCCTTGTGGTAAAAAAAACGAAATAACCAACATTTTACAAGCTTTAGCCATCATCTATAGTATACTATAGCTGTAAAGTACATAGTTATTTGACTTTTTCAGGTGCATGCTGTATACAAACCACATCACCTTTATCTTCATATAAGTAATATTTTTACATGCAATAATGGTCATTATCCAAGATATGTTTTATATGTATAATGACTAAATATTGAGTGAATATACATAATATATATTTTGTAAATTATGTCAAGTTTGACTATTTACAGTTTGTACCACGTGGATGCAGATGGCTTTGACTTGCCTTCTCTATAGAGCTGATGGTGACACCTGCCGCACAGGACACAATAAGATGACGATCTTCAATGTCTGGTCCTATCTCATCCAGTACAAAAGGGATGATGTGGGGCTTCACGGCCAGGAAGAGAACATCGCTCTTGCTCACTGTCTCTTTGTTGCTTGTTGTGAAATTGACACCCAATTTCTGTAAAAGAAAATACACGTTTCTACTTTGTTGGACAGTATAAAATACAAGTAAAGGAATGTTTTCTATCTCAAAAACACACAATTATATGCATAAATGAACAGAATTGTTGATTTACCAAAGTATTGATTCCTAATTGTCTACCTACCCTTAGTCCCTGTACTGTGGGGAGATCTGTGTCTGGGGAACTGGCTGTGATTCTGTGGGTGGCAATCACGCCTTAAAGTGGACAAAATGTCCAAAAATCATTTCAGTGTCTGATTGCAATCAACATACACTAACAACACAAGTGCAATCTTTAAAATACAAACATGGTAAAGTATATTTAAAACTCACCTGCAGCTGAGAAGCCTCTGACCAGAGCGTGGGTCAGCTGGCCTGCTCCAATGAAACCCACACTCATTATACCTGTGTGTGTTCAGAGCAAAACTTTATCAAGGATGAATTCATTATCTCTCAACATAGACAGGTGATAACGACAAGGTCTAACAAATGGTGTGCAGCTTATATCCTTCTGGCAGCCACGTACGTTGTGCTGTAGTAGTAAACAAACCCCTACTTCCGTATTAAGCGAAGCGAACGACATGTATGAATACACGTGGGCAGCAGCCATATTGTTATACAGTAGGTACACTTACAAATATATCCTGAAGTCGCCGCGAAGTTGACCGACAGACCGACAAATAAAGCAACCTTTTAACAGAAACACCTGAAATCTGTACTCTGTCAACGTGGCTCATTTGTGTCGCGCTCTACTGTACCTGTTGTGGTATATTTGACTGACAAGTGAATGAGCCAATGAGCATGCACGTTTAGGCAAGACGTAGCGCGTCTGACCAATCACAGAGTTGTTGGTAGTCACTTTGAGGCGGGTTCTTAAAAACCCGAAAGCCTACCAGCTGTGTCAGGTTTCGCCAAGGGGGAGATATGTTGAGTATGCCGGTAGGTAATAAACTATCATCTACTGTGGGAAATGTTGAAAGGCATGTCACGGTAAAGAACTAACACTTTCAAGGAGACAGACAAGTAGTCTGACCGAAGTCGCCTAGTTAACACCCCGGAGTAAATAACATTTTGCGTTAATCTTCAGTGCCTGAACATTTTACATGTTGTCTTGTCCACAGAGAACGGAATTCCTTCCAATGTGAATGGACAAGGGAAAAAATGTCTGAGAAGCATGTTTTCTAACACTGTAATCTACAGACACCATGCAGTTTAACATATTTATAAATTACTCTGGTGTGCTATTTAATATTGAAATATGTTAATTTCATTTAGCCTACTCAGGCTATGAATCATTACTGCTTTAACAATCAACATAACTACCAATTTCAATTTTGATTTGAACCCTTGCCAATAATGATGTCACTGTTTAGGAAGAGTTGTTGAAAGTGAAAGTGAAGGTTCACATATCAAAACATAACCTTACTCATACAGCAAAGGGCAAATAAATAAAATGACCAACAAAACATACTTTTAGATATTTTATTAAATATGAAACATTATCTATCAGAAATATAGCAAAATAAGAAATATCGAACCGTTGGTTGTGCTTTCTCAATTAAAATAAAATGTAATACTGCTGTCAAAGTCTTGTTTAAAAAAAATCATGTATCAGATACATTTAACATTCAGCCGAAGACAGGAAAGCCTGATGAACTTCAACTTTTGCATTTCATGCAGTGTATGATGACAAACTGTGGGACGAGATACAACAAAATGGTCAAAAAGCTGAACCAAAAGCTATGTTCAGTGCATACTGTAAACTTAGCCTATGCTATTTGTAAGATATATCTTCCTTCATTTGAGTCATACAGACATTTATGGTTCAGCCTCTGTACTCTGAGGCTGATTTAACATTAATATTCTAAACATTATCCCACACACCCGTAGGTCCTTCCTGTTTGCAACCAGCAAAGGAATCTGGAGCAGAGGGATGTATTTGGTGCTAAACTGGACAAACTTCCCAGAATCCTCTTTGAACAAAGTTACTACGATTAGATCGTCGGTGCACCTGGTCTTCCTGGTAAGTCACTGCTGAACCTTGGGAAAAGCCTTTATTTGTTGTTAGAATAGGATAATACTGTTAATTTTGCTGCCTACAGGCAGTTGAATTAATACTGATAAAAAAAGTCCACATAGATACGGTAGTAGATCTATGGATCCAAGGGATTGAGTCCTTCACAGAGACTTGAATGAGGAGAGCAAGGTGGATGTGGTCTCGAAATGTCTTTATTTGTCTTTGAGTCTATAGTCTTTAGGAGAGGGGGGGGTTCAGACAGCAGAGCTGGAGACGAAGCGAATCCTCTGGGAGTAAACAAGGTCAACAAAATAAAGGATCATGTTTACGTTGGTGAACACAGCCACAACGAGTTTACTGTCCCAGGGACATTCTCCACGTGGGCAATCCTCAGGACGAGTAGAGGTGCCATACTTCCTGTCAAAGCTGAAGATGGGCCAGATGAGGGCAGTGCTGAGGTAAAGCATCACAGCGAAGAAGGTGTAGACGATCACAAACCGGTCAAAGGGGAACCGCAGGGCTGAGGTCTTACCGGAAACTGTCACTCCCACTACTATGACAGTAATAGTGAAGCACAGGCTGTACACCACCACACAGTACTGAGTGGCAATGTGGAGGGTGTACTCACTGTCATTGGCTAGGGCCCCGAAAATGATACAGGCCACAAAACCCTGGACCACCTTGAGTAGACCGGAAACAGTAGCCATGTAACCCACCACGGCTCCCGTCTTTGCTCGAGTTAGGAAAACCTCAGCACCGTAGGGGAAGCAGCAGACACTGGAGCAGACAGTGACAGCAATGCGGTAGAATTGAACCTCACAGCTTTCATCAGGGCACTCTGTTTGGAGGAAGTAAACAGGGTAGACCACGGAGGCAGTGATATACATGAGTGTTGCCAGCATGGCAAAGGCCACGGTGAAGTTATCCCAGGAAATAGGCATGCATGCGTGGAGCCGTGTGATATCCAGGGTGAACACAACCAGTGTGACAGCAAAGCAGAAGCACCACACAAACATGCAAAATTGTCCATAGCTGGCGCTGTAGCCTGCGCTGTGGGAGACAAGGGCCATTATGGTGCAACCGAGGAGCAGCTGGCACATTCGGGATATACCTAAAGGTGACAGCACAGCTTCTTTGTTGAGGTAGTGTCCTCCATTAGAATCCATCTTGTGTGTCGAGGCTCCCAGAAGCAGCTGTTTTTCTTGGTGAGATTCTTGACGTGCTGTCCTTGTGGCCCACTCTTTTTTTGTTGGGCACAGACTTCACCCTTTCCTTGGTTGCCTTTTTATAGATGGTCCTTAATTATAAATGTCTGTAATGTTCGCCTAAGCTTGCTTTGTAATTACAGTAGTGTGCTTAACATCAAGACACATTTATACACTGTTATGTAGAAGTTTGCACAGTAAACGTAAAGGTTATTTATTGAGACCTTAACATAAGATTATCTAAGATCTGAATGTCTTTTCTTGGCTGCACAAGCCTATAAATTATGAATACAGAATATTATTTCTGTAAATCATATAACAATGGAATCAGTGCTTTTATACAGTTATGTTATAATGAAGAATGTGCTCCTGTTCTTACTCAAAGCTGTAGTGTTTGTCCTCAGAAATCGTGGTTTTTCCTTGCATGCTCTCTTCAATCCCCAAATTGTCCAGTGTATGAAAAGTTCAAAGTGTCGAAGGTCCTCTAAAAGTCGTATACAGTGATCAATCTTCCAACAATAGCCGGCAGTGCTGGACAGGTGGACTGGTTTGTTGTCCTGTCAGTCAAGTTCCATTACTCCGCAAATCAGTCCTTGTACATTGTTCACAGTAGGCCCCCAACTGCCCGTCCAAATAACTCAAACTGTTGGCTCTGTCTCTTGCTCTTTGTCTTGCTGTTTCTGTATCCTTTTCCCTCTTGGATTTAGTCTCCCACTCTTTCTTGCGCACACAAACACACACCCTCTTCCTGCTGTGTGTGTCAGTGCGCACTCAAGGGGTTGTTTAAATGAAAGTTTGTGCCGAGACCAGGGTTACAGGCCCCGCCAGCTCTATAAATAGGGGGTCTATATTCCACAGAAGGGTGGGAGGCTACTTGTGGCAGGCAGTATGGGAGTCGTATTTCTAGGGAGCACCCAGGGAGGCTGAGTCAGAGCACCCTCAGAAAGAAACTGGCATTTATGTGCAGTGTAATGACAGGGAGTGAGGCTAAGACTCCCATTAGAGGCAAAAATTACATACAGGGCCAGAAGGATGATTATGTACAAGTGATGGCAGATTTGAGCGATGCATGTGAGAGGGAAGTGGAAATAAATTAGTAGTTACTTAAAATACGCCAACCTGTGATATTAGTATGCTGGGATTTTTGAGTTACAGTGTGCAAGGTGAAAATATTCATTTTAACAGCATGTGAAGTCTAGTTTATTACAACTCAATCCTTTTTCCACTAATTTGCTATCAGTTGTGTGGTATTCAGATTTCTTGTTGGAGGATGACCATTTCAAATACAAAATAATACAAAAAGATGTTACCTTTCAAAGGTGCTAGAATATAAAAAAACAACTCTTCCTGTTAGTACAGTGACCTATATGTCATGTTTTGTTATGCCCAATTAGCCTGTCCAAACTACAAAATCCATCGATAAGACCCCAATGGCCAGTGTCCCATCTTGTGCTTGTCTTGATACAGGTCTACAGGAAGAGAAATTCATTTCTAATCCAACCTTAACACATTCTTATCCTCGATTTCTTTGTGAAAAGATACATTGATGATAGTCATGGAGAGACAGGAGAGATGACTGACTTTATATAAATTCTACTGCTTACTACAACAGCATGAAACTTGTATTTGCCTCCTATCCTCCTTACCCTAACCCTACAATTTATTACACTTGATTGAGGCAGTGCATGTTTCATTTTACGATTTTGCTATGTTGTTTTGTTTCTGAAGTGATTATATTGCAAAGGAAACCTAATGGATCCATTATCCATTACGTTTGAAATAGTCATTAAACAGATAATCCATTGATAACAGTACAGCTGTTGGCTTGATATCAACAGGTTTTCTATGTCTTTCCCCATTCTGACAGTCGTGTTGAAACGTCATCTCTCCCTTGGATCTTAATTATCTTTCAGTCATATGTTTGGCACATTAGAGGATTATGAGCCCAAATGACTTGTGATGGTTAGGGAAGTGCCTTTCATTGACATGTGAGCGTATGTGTGAATAGGTCATTAAAACCCACATTTTAATCAAAATAAATTCATCATAAAAATAGTGAGTGCGTTAAACAGAAGAAACAGCTATAGGGGTCACAAGATTGTTGTAACATATTAGTTGACATATAAAATTCACCTTATTAACAGTGCAGATTTTGTAACTGTTATGTAAAAGCAGCTGATGGGATATAGGTGTCAAAGCAGGGATTGCTTCAGCAAGTTATTATACAAGACATTTTAATGTATTGTAGAACAGTTCTTTGAAGTTTCATATGACCAATTCCTCAGGTATTTCCTGTTAGTTATGGGTAATTATTGTATCAAATAAAAGCCAATATTTCTCGTTTTCACCTCAACTACTTCTTGAAATGAGCCACATTTTTTTTTCCCGATCTTTTGCAAAGCTGCTAAAATAGAAATTGTTGAAAAACCTTTAGCTGACTTTGTATACACTAAGCCTTATATCTATTATCAGATGATGATAGTTATCAGTGGGGTAAAAAACTGTGTGGAGCCTGAGGTAGCGGCTGACCTTACCTCCTGCAAGTCATGGAAGAATGGAGAATGTGCAAATACTACTGATGCCTATTCTACTACAACTTCTGCTCTTACAAATACTTCTATCTATAATATAACAATAATAATAACAAGACTTCACAGCAATATTTAGCTTGTAGTATATGTAATGTGTCTTTTCTTTTAGGTCTGATACAAAGACATGCAATCAACACAAAGAGAAAAAACAGCAATGTATTTACAATTTACAAAGAATCACTTCTCTGTGTAAATAGCACTTATAAATATGATTTACATAACAAAATAAATATGTAAATTACCAATGTAGCTTGAGTTTTTTTCTGTGAAAAAATATGTTACAGAATAAAATTACTATTAGTAATACCTTTCCTTCTCTGGTGTGATGCAAAATAGAGGTCCTTTGAAAACATCATTTATAAGGACATCATTAGATACAACACTATCATTATATTAAAAAGTGATCTCTATTATGATATATAAGAAGGGACTTACAATAGTGAACACTTGAAAGAACCTATACAAATACTCAAAAAATATACAATACACAATATTTGTCTCCCTTTAAATGTTCATTCCATTGATTTGAGGATTGTTACTGACTACTACTGACCCAACGAGAATGAGTACTCAAAGTCTTCAACAGTCTTGTGATGATGTAGCATGTGAGAAATAGGTAAAGATGAGATGTAATGTGGTTTATGTATATCTAATGATAGACTGTTAGTGTTTCCAGGTTAGAACCACAATCAACTTCAAACCACCAAACCAGGCAGGCATTACAGCTGTAGAATATGCTAATTCGTACCGGAATATTTATTTTAATCCATGATAATATCAAAAAGCATATATAAAGTATATGGCATTGTCTGTATTTGGTTCTTGTTTGACTTATTATTCTGGGTACTTTCATTAACAAAGAATAAAATATGATATGTTTTCAGCTTTATTTCCAGCCTAACTTTGAGGGTATGTTAAGTTAACCTGGTCTTTTACCGCAGGCTGATTATAGGAATCTAGGTTTATTTCTATCCTTCTTGCCATTATTTTTTAGACAAATACAAAATGTTTTTTCCGATCCAGTGCCTTCCTCACCTTATCATATGCCCCTGCCCCTGCCTTGATGTAGTTTTTGTCTCATGAGAAACTATTAAACAGTAGTAAACAAAATAAAAACGTTATATACTCTATAGTGACTACTTAACAAAGACAGCATCCTTACGTCCTTATGGTGTTTCCTCTTTTCTCGTTAAACAATGACAAAATATAATCTATAAAGTAGAATGAATATAATATAAAAAAAAAAAAAAACATCAATGAGCATCCTTAAAACTGGATTACATTCGTGATATTTTTCTTTTTACAAAGCAAAAGATAATTTAAAAGGAGAGTAGCAGAGAGTTGTGCCTTTTCTTGGTGTTGTGTTGCCCCTTGTGAGGAAAGGGATTGTGGGACAAATCTAAGCCCCTGTGAGTAGACTACAGGTAGAATGGGTTGTGAAGGTGGAGTTGGAGGTATCAGACATGGGGGGCCGGCCTGAGAGACCAGCCAGCCGTGGTTGGGCTTAGCTTGGAGGTGTGTGTGTGTGTGTGTGTGTGTGTGTGTGTGTGTGTGTGTGTGTGTGTGTGTGTGTGTGTGTGTGTGTGTGTGTGTGTGTGTGTGTGTGTGTGTGTGTGTGTGTGTGTGTGTGTGTGGTGTGTGTGTGTGTGTGTGTGTGTGTGTGTGTGTGTGTGTGTGTGTGTGTGTGTGTGTGTGTGTGTGTGTGTGTGTGTGTGTGTGTGTGTGTGTGTGTGTGTGTGTGTGTGTGTGTGTGTGTGTGTCCGTTTAGCTGCCGCTGCTTAGCATGCCCAGTAGCTTGCTGGGGTCCATGCCCTGCTGCTGAGCCATCTTCTGCACATCGAAGCCCATGTGCATGAGGAACTGAATGACGTTCATCTCTTGTCCTGTGAACTGGTCTCGGATGGTGGGGCAGGTGGGGTTGCAGTGCGGCCACGGGCAGCTGTCGATCAGATGAACGGGGCAGCCCTTGGGTGGAGCTTTGTTGTTCCTGTTGTCATTCAGGCTGCGGTCCCAGCAGTGCAGAGCTCGTGGCAAAGAGGTGCCTTTAACCTGAATGTCAATCCAGTAACTAGAACACAACACAAGAGGGCGCTGTCAGCTCACAAGTAGAGGGTCTCAAACACAAAGCTTAGTGCTCCATGATATTGAAACACTGGAAACAGCAGGTTTGAATATGTATACTTACTTTCTGGTGATAACTTCATGTGAAAGGCAGGCTGGAGCAAACATAGCTCTGGAAAAAAGAATGAAGAAAACAAAACATTAACCAATTGAAACATTAACCAATACTTGAATGGTCTTCCTAAAAAGCAGAGAAATGTTCTTACGGGACATCTTTGAGTGTGTTCCTCAGCTCAATGCCCAGATTTTGAATGTAGCGCCACTGGCCCTCCTGCACAGGCTGGCCTGTTAGCTGGATGTTGTCTACTGCCAACTGGGCCTCGTCAAACAGCCACTGGACAACAAAAACTGGGCCTGCACAGGGAGAATGGAAGAAGACGATTCATATAGGTTCATAGTGTGCATTTACAGTGCGGCTGCATCCTATATCATTATTTGAATAGTTACTTCAATGTCAACTTGCACAATAAACACATCGAGAAAAGACTGCTAAATTCCTTTAAGGGATTTTTTGAGTTAGTTGAAGTAGAAGAAAACTTTTGATTGGTGCCTTTAGTGTTTAGTTCAGTGTATAATAAAAGAAAGTTAGAAACATTTATTTATTCAACAATACATTTGATGAACTTTAACAGTATAGGCAGAACTCTTATAATCCATTTTCGGTTTATTCAACACAAGTAATATTGTTATTGCATTTTTTTTTCTCCTATAATGCAGCCATAATAAGCAGTCTATATATGCTTATTATTATGCCACACAAGTGTGTTGGGCTTGCATGTACAGAAGGTACATTTTACATAATACAGAATGAGACCCCAAGCTTACTTTTTATCGATGGGAAGACTCTATATCCAAAGAAACAGTTCCACTCCTCTCCTTCATGGGTTTGCCTGCACCTCTCTGGAACCACTCCTCCCCAGTACCTGATGAGCAGGTGAGAAAAACAGATAGGACATGATGTCTATGTTAGCAACCTTACTGAAATAAGTCTATCTTACACATTCTTCAATGATAATATCACCGTCTCCCTTACTTGATGCCTCTCTTGATGGTCTCAGTGGGGGCGCAGGTGATGGCGTCCAAGCACTCCGTGCAGTCCGTGCAGCTGTACTGCTTGTTGTCCAGGAACCAGCCAGAATCAGACAGGCCTCGCACTTGTATCCCAGTATGCCCCAGTCCCTCCAGCAGCTCCGCCACATGGTCCACGTTCAGAAGGACCCCAGTACCACCAGCACTGCACTCATGAATACGACATATTGCTATAAATACCTATCAGTACATTTGAATCAAATGAATACAATTTTCTATTTGAAAATCACAATATTCACACACCTGCTTCCTGCTAATAGGAGAACTTTGGCGTTGTCCAGGCCTTTGTTCAGCAGGTCCTTCACAACCTCCTGTATGATCAGTGAGCCCATGAAGGCATAGCCACCTACACACAACACAAAGACATTAGAATGTCACTTTTCTCAAAGAGGGTTACATGTAACGTTTGTTTTGATGATTCACTCGTGTCTTACTCTGCTCTGTTTTGGCTGTAGCGCCGCTCCACACATCACTGGAGCAGTACGGGATGAACCTGCGCAACCAACACAAAGTTAAAAAGCTGCCGGGCCATAATTATAAATCAAGCTTTGATAAACACACAAACATGAATCAACTTACACCATGTTGGCGTTCCACCAGTGAGGGTTTTCCTCGGGCAGCGGAGACAGGATCCCTGTGCCTGCAGCAGAGACAGATCAACATGTATCATTAGCCATCCTGGCACTCCCAGACACATCTTCTTCCTCATCATCATTACCACATGGATTACAGTTATTACACTGAAATGAGAGAGGGTGAGGCGTCTCTGTTCCTACAGCAGCGGGCGCCAGGTAGCCCTACACCGCAACTACATTATGACGGGGTGACAGATACATCCGATCCTTTAAATTACTGGGACATTACAGTGGGATCTGGCTTCTTTTTCTACCATGTTGGGGGTCAGGACTTGCTATAGCCATTGGTAGAGTAACAGTGGTGCTTATAGCAGAGTAGTGGTTGGAATACAGAATAGCTGATGCTGACCTGTTTTAGTTTGGGGCCACGTGGATGAGCTCATCAATCTCCTCATGGTCTCGTATCGGCTGTCACAGTTCTCCTTGTTGAAGCAGTACCAGCCACCTGGATATAAACACACACCAAAAATATATGTGTCATTCGTAGTCTACAATTACTCATTATTCTAAATGTGGGCATGAAAGGAGAAACATAATGAAATTAGTTAAATGAATACTCACCCTCTAGGAATATCAACCACCGTCTGCTGCCTCGAGACTCTTTCAGGTAGTAACTATGAGAAAACAAAGAATAATAAATTATAGCCGACAAAAATATGATTCTATGTTCCTCAAGGTTTATTTACCGCCAACATAATAATCTATTTAAACAACAGAAAGATACAACCACATTCCACAGTTGTGTGCTTCAGAGAGATGAGGTAAACACTGAAAGTAATACCCACACTGTTTCTACCATCTGTGACAGTATCCAAGCATGAAATATAAACACATACCACATGATAATGTTAATCTTAGCAACGATGTCTTGTTGATTCCTATCTCTCAAAGGTGACAGACGGGAGCAAAAATGAAATTCTGCCCAGGGACAACAGAGAACAATGCGTTTTTGTGTGTTTATAGTTTATTCTCAGGAAACTGATATGGTGATCAGACGGGCGATACACGGTCCCCTATCCTTTGTTTGTGCTGTAGATGCCAGTAGATGATGTCCCTCATGTTTAATGCAACACTGGTAAGTAATCATAGTCTCATCACTCTGAGCTCATCCCATATCAACACATGACATTGATAAATCAAGGCTCCAGCCCATAGGAAGGATAAGAGATATGAGGACATTTTTGACGTATGTAGTTGTCAAAACCTTTATCCCAAAATGCCCTTCAGATCCAACCTGGGTAAGTGATATTATTTTTGCCAGGCTGTCTATACAAATAAGTTAATACATGTCACAATATAAGATGTGTGCTGTATGTTATCAGCCCAGGAGAGGGCAATGCTAACATGATTCTCCCATACTGATGGATGTTCTCAAGGCTGACACATCATCCTTTTTGCAACAGGATTTTGTTTCAAATAATAATACCAGATCACAGGACTTTCTAATGTGTAGAGTAGCTTTAGCCACATAATCCAGATGTTACAAATGTGCTTCTGTGATTCTAACGGATCAGTATTCACCGCACTTCACCAATGACTAAACTCCACGGATTGCCAAAAACATGTGAGTTACTTAAAAAAGAAAACAGCCTTGGCTGGAGTTCTGAGCTGTATGCCCAGACTCTGAATCACACTTTGGCTGCAATATCTTGTACAGTCATTAATGTAGGCTGAGGACGGTATACTCTACTCACTACTTCCAATAACAACGTGAAGGCATGCTAGATCAACCCACTCACGGTAACAAGTACAACTCCGGAACATCAGAGTCAAACAGTGAATTCTTTTCTCATTGCATTGTTGTTAATCTGTCATATGTGATCAAATACCTCTCACAAAATACTGTTAGCAGCTGATGGATAAGCATCTAAACTGACTGACAAGTGACTGAAACGCCATCTGCCAGTCACCATCCCTAGCTGCGTATCTAGAGAGTTAAGAGCTTTACCCCGCTAACAGACCTCTCTTTCCAGCAGGCACTTTGAGGTTTTACAGGAATTAGACAGGATAGTAAATCCATAAAGAGAAATGTATAGAGAAAACCCCTTTTAGTCAGGTCTGCCCATCACTGAACAGGTCCCAGATCATTTCTGATGCACAGACATCAAAGCCTCCGGATACAACATTAACAGTAAAGCTTTTATATAATACTTGCAAATAATAATGCCTATGATAACAATTCAGCAGTGCTTTATATTTTCCTATATCAATACTAAATTAGGGGCACATCACAGTTTTTATGAGGTTTTCAAACTCTTTTCTTGTGATGCAGAAGAATACATTGGCAGTTTGAGTCATTTAAGAAGTATAATAAGATTAATTATATCTTTTACACCTGCGTTTTATTTGATTCACCCCCTCCTTCCATGACTAAATGTGCCTATCAATATTACATTTATAAAAATATATTTTGGAATTTCAGCTCCTGATTTGACTTATTTCAAATTGAACATAAAAGAGAGTCTATTACTAAGCATTATGCTATGCAATATGAGAGGCAGTGCATCTGTTTGATATGCTTTTAGTGTCATCCTGCTTTCATATTGAGAAATTATGCAGGCTTTGTTGCCGGGAAATGGATTTCTGCTGAAAAATGATGGATATCATGGCAAACAATGTACTGATTACCCCATTAAATCAAAAACTACAAGGAGCCATTGACATCAAATTCTAAAGGAGCCAAGTAGACAAGACATACTGTCAAATGGCAAAAAAAAATAGATATGGGCAGGGGTCTTAAAGGTTGAATTTAAACTTTCTGCAGAGCAAATCCTGCATTCTAATTTGAAGCAAAGGAAATGAAGCATAGGCCATGTGGCTATCCGCAAATGTCACGCTTCACTGACACAAAGCAGCTGTTTATCTCATGCCGTTATTCTGTCCTAGGACATTGCTCTCTTTTTAAAACCCCCCCATTTATTTTGTTTATTTTTGTCATTGTACATATTTTCTATTTCTTTTTCAAGATGTAAATGTTTTATGAATGGTAAACCAGTTTTGAACATAAGCAATACACCAGGGTGGAAAAGGAGAGCTTCAGTGCGCACACTTGCCGCCTCAGGCCAGACTTCGAGTAGCAGGATGACCATCGAGACGCCCTGCTGAAGTAAATAACAATTCATTCTAGCCTCAGGGCGCACACCTGACCCTGCTCTGACCTGCCGGTGATCCAATCACATGGGAATCATGATCGATCACACTGTGTATTCTCAGTTGGTACATACCCCGCAGGACTCCCATCGTTGCAGGTGACTGATGTATTCTCCAAAAAGTTGAGCTTCATGTCGTAGTCGAGCTTCTGCGCCGAACACGGGTAGAGGGACTGCGCAAGGTTCTTCACCTGTGTCATGAAGTTATCCATGTTCTCCTCCACGGCGGTGAAATCCAGAGGGAAGCTCTCCGTGGTGTCCCCCCGGTCCGCCCGGTATGTGGGAGGAGGTGGCGAGCGGCGTGGTTGTGGGTTGCGGCCACCCCGGAACCTCCGTGCGCAAAGAACTCCGGACTGCATCAGCACCAGCAGCAGCATTGATGAAATCATTCTGATCGCTGTCATCTTATCCCGGTGTTAAATGTCCAAATGCAATGTCTCGTCAGGGAAACTCAAACTTTTACTGATGGAGCTGAGAAATAAATTACGCACGGTTTAAAATACGCCACAACTCTTGTCATCAACTCCAAGCAACGGTTAAATGTTAACTGAAGTCGTTTTAGAGCAATCACAGTCATCAACTGAATTATCTGGATATATTTCAAACTTTCAAAGAGCCTACAAATATGTGCCCATCTATCTAGTACAACTCAAGCGCTGCTGGACCAAGCGCACAAGCTTGAACGACAACACTCGTGCCATGCTCTTGTATTTTATTCAAACTTTCCCCCCTTGTGTGTCCGTCCAGCCAATCGCAGGCGCGGGGAAGGACTCAGGGCATGATCAAGCGTGGCAGACTACCCCCCTTTTTTAATTTATAGAGGGGAAAAAAATGTCCATGCGTTGGTTCTTTTGATCCGCGATGTTTTATTTGATGTGGTGGCTTTTATTGGCCTTGAAATGCCCATTTCCCATTCCACCACAAATTTATGAAGTGAGAATAGTCATCTTGTTACACACTTTCCTGAAAATCAAGTGGGGAAAAACAAGAGTCGTGCTGAGATCCAACAATATTTGACCGAGAAAATAAATAATAATCTCAACAGACTTTACATGTTTAAATAACGTAACATTATTATTGTATATTTCATTTATTTTATAAGGCATTTAAATCCATCAGAGATTCCTACACCTTACAAAAAACCCACAAACTCCTCCTTAAAAGGAGTTCTGACTAGTTGAGTTGCACATGTTTTCTTAAGGTTTAGAAAAAGGGACTTGGACACTTGTTTTTTCTTTTTTTTTATCCAGACGGGGCCTCCAGAGATCAAAGCAACCATCACTCTTTCTCCCCCCTCTCCTCGCCTCCTCCCTCCCACTTCAGTCTCTTCCAAACTTTCCTAGTCTACTGTATATTTTAAGTCGAGCAGAGCATCCTGATGGGGAGCCAACTTTTTAACACAGGAATGCCTTGTTACGGTTGAGGTAGGCTTCCCTTGAACAACCTCTCATTTTAAGGACACATTTAAGTTAAAAGAGTAGCCCGCAGTGATTGCATAAGAATAACAGTGATTACTCATCACTGTGACACTTTGTGGTGACTTTTGTCTTTGATTGAGCTCATTCTTCTCATGTGAGACGGACTGACTTTTTGAATTAGTGTAGTTGTAACAGACTGGGCATTACTGTCACTACCTGTACATGTATACAACCAACAATGTGCTAACTCTAGAGCAGTTTAAGAGGATAATACTTATCTTGTGTCATATGTATGTATCTCTGAGCCGTGGTAAAGTTGCTGTCATATACACAGACTCAAAGCTTATTGATAATATCTTATTGATGCAGTCTCTGTTTTGGCAGTGAGATTGGAAAGAGCCCTGGGGCCTGATATGGGGGTAGGACTGTTTATTCAGATATCTATTGTGAGCTGTCTGTCAAAAACATTGATCGTAAATCTACCAAAAAGAACATTTGGACATTTTTAAACATGCTCACATAGTTGTCAGCTCAACAACATAAAAACAGTTTCACAACTTCTTAGAAAAATATCCTTTTGGCCCGTGGTAAATCGATGGTCCTAAAGGGTGCAAACTGTTCTAAACCAGGTAAGATGGATATGAAGTCAGCAGCAGGACCGATGGTATTCATTGGGAACTTCAAACAGATGCTTGTATAGATTAAAACATGTGGTAGGGCCCAGGAGGAGAGGCTCTGTCACAGATTGAGTCTAGTCACTTTGACCCATACCTCCCTGTTTTATCACACGTCATCCCCAAAAATGTAACCCTTAAATCACTCGCAGATGGACGTTGGCCTCTGACACACACGCTACCATGAAGAGATGCCCCGGCGGTGTGTGGAAACGTCCACCAACCCAGTGAGTGAAAAGTGTGAGCGGCAGATGCCCGCGCTTCGACTGAACTAGACGTGTAGATTATGTGTTCCATTTCCATACAGTATGAGGCTGGAGGCAGAAACGCTGGTTTGCCTTGCTACTGTTGGTGCACTGTGGTTTGTTCTCTACTGTGCACCTTGTTTGAACTCCAAGTGCTAAGCCCTTCTGGCTTTCACTGGTAATTCTCTCTCTCTCCCTTTTTTCTTTGCCTCCCATCGTTTGTGTGTAGCGCAGACACAAATTTAACCATGCAAGTACGAACGGATTAATCCCAGAATTAGGTCATTTGAAAATGACCCAGCTGTTCTGATGGCAGTCCCTCAGAAGTGCCCCTGTAGCCCCCACCCTGACTCCAGGCCTCCTGTGAAAGTCAAAGCCTGTCTTTCATCTCCGATCAGTTTCATGTGCCCTCACAGATCCACAGGTTTTACTGCTTAAGTCTGGGCTGGCAGCATTGATCATGTGACCGTTGCTTGCCTAGCGTTTAGACACATCATAGCTCTGGGAGCGCTCTTTCTGTCTCCACAGCCTGCCAGTTCTGCTCACACATCCCCATCGTCCGTCTCCCAGTGCCTGTTAGTTTTGATTTGCACATGCTGTTGTCGAGGGTCCATCCGTGATCATCAAATCCCGCTAGTTGGAACTGTTAGGTCAGGTTACATCAAAGAGATCAGGAGGGATCAGCCTCTTGAAAGGGACAGGCTCTGGCTCATATCATCAGAAACAGGTGGAGGTCCTCATTGGAAGAACAAAGGAGAGATCACCATCTATAAAACTTTTATATTTCATAGAAGACTTTCTTTAAATTCCCTTACATTGCCACCCCTCTCCTACACAGAGCATTAGCACTAGTCAGCACCAGCATAAAACATAAGATATCAGGTTAGGGATTGTGGGACTCAACCGCAGTACTAAAGCCCATGAAGGTCACACAGCAAAGCCTGAGACTTAGTGGTATCATGCCACAAAGTGTTTAAGTGTGGAAATCTGCTAAAAGCCAGGACCAAAAAGGAACTGGAAATGCATGGGATACGACTCAGGTGTTCTGAGTTAGTTGAAAAGTTGTTGAAACCTTCAGAGGTTTTGAGTATATTGTAGTACTTTCTCCTGTGGCAAGTACCAGGTTTTGACATTTTTTTGATTGCCTGTCTCAGGATTAGATTCAATATTGTAGATCTTTTTCATGCAAAAACTATTTGTTTGCATTATTTGAAAGACAGCCTCATTAACAGGTTAATCTGACTTAAATGTTAGAGAGCTGTGACGTTTTGCGCTTTCCTCCCCTGTCAAAGCGTTTTAGCTTCTGTTCTCTGTCACTTTGAGGCAAACCTTCAGAAGCAGGTCCCCTTAATTTCATGTTGAAACTATTGTTTAAAATGCAAAATAAACATGGACAAAGGTTTTGGGTGTCAACACACTGTAGAGTTCCTTTCATGTGCCCCCACCACATGTTCCTGATATTACCCAGAGAATCTGTAAACAACCTTGATCCTGACTTAAGTCAAGAGGTGCCATCTAAGATGTGGATGTAAATGGGGAGTAAGAGAGAATAAGAGAGGCTGGAGACATCTGTCGAGCAGGCTCTCATTTCGTAAGAGGAGGCTGTGTATTGGTTACAGATGATGCCCTGTTTGATAAAAATGTACTCTTTCAAGATAGGACAACTGGCATTAGGGGTCTCTCTGGCACCAAGGGGTAATCAAATAGTTCAGCTGACAGGTCAGCTGTTTGTTGTTGATCTTTCACCTGAATGATGGTCACAAAATAGCTGTTGCCTGTAAACAGTTCTGTCATGTCATTCATACTAAGCGAGTTGGATGTTGTTGTGTGTGTCAAGGTGGGGGTGCATGCATGTTTTCCTGCATTTGTGTAGGAATGTGTTGTTGTACAGGAGATTTAGTGAAGTCAAACGAACCTCCTCAGAGGTAACGGTGCGCGAGTGTTCGGCCTTCCTCTGGAGGCGTTTTCCATCCATGCCTCGAGACTGAATCACCCTTTGCAATGCCCTCTGCCAGGTAGCGACAGAGCAGGGAGCAGAGACCAATTACCATTGGAAACCTGCTATTATTATCATCAGAGAGGCGGCAGCCCTCCTTCCCCTGCGCCTATTCTCATCTCCAGCGAGACAGGATGAGAATCAAGCCCTTTTGTCTCGGAAATGTTTATTTATGCCAGAGATTTGCCAAAGGACATGGAAAAGCCCTTATTACAGGTCATGACAGTAGAGCCACAACACATGATTCATTTTCTATCCTTTAACCTAGTTGTCTCTATGGGGAAATGCTTTTGAAGTCCACACCCTGCTGTAAAACATGGTCCTTATTCAATTATGTGAGAGCTGTATTTGAGGCTGTTTTCAGAATCTGTGTAAAAGCAATCGAGGATTTCCATTATGTTTTTGAACATTTCTGTTTTGTGGAAAATACAGATATAAAAAAGAAAAAGTTGTTGACATGAAATCTAAATTGATGTTCGGTCAAAACTCCTGGTGCCAGTTTTTCAAACAGGGAATAAGACCTGATCTACACTAAAGGCAACATTTGTTGGAATTATCAACTAAAAAGTGGCATAGTCTTAGTAATAATCCCTGTCTGGGAACTCTGCCCATAATGTTGTGAGTACACGGTATGTCTTCCCTCCACCGAGCCACTGGGACACTATTAGAACATGGCACAGGCCTTATTATTTTTGACACTCTCTTAACACCAAGCAGCCGCTTTCTTTTATCCTCTCAGCAAGAAGATGAGACTACTGTAATCGAAGAAGACAATGATCAGTGCCAGCCTCTTGGCCTGGCCTGGTACCTGCTTTGATGTCATATTTTGGTGTATAAGCGGGCTGTGGCCCATGCCAAAAAGCACCCATAGTCGCCAACTGTCTGACAGGCTGCCTTTCATCAGAATGACATCACTCTTCTACTTGATTTTTTCCAAAGGCTCTTCCAGGCATGGGAATTTTCTCCTAAGAATCTGAAATCATCATCCCACGCCTTTACACCCTTAGTCTCAAAATAAAAGAAACACACATCTGAGACATACATAAGCTTGTGTGGCATACATACAGAAAGTAATTGTACAGTTACTGTTAGCAGTGTGAGTTAGTTGCCCCAAGATTTTGCCAGGCATTTCTGAAGACTCTTTAATATAGAGATGCTATAGGGAAATACTCCCTGATTTTCTGTTCAAAGGGGAAGAGAGAGAAGTGATAGATTAAAAGGTTGAATCTGAAGTGTTTGCTTTCGGAAGAAATTGAGGAAACTGCTGTGTGGTGGATATTTATATCCAACTTCTCTGGCTGGCAGGATTACCACTCTGCCCAGCGTCGGCT